ATAATCCAGTATCCGAGTCATCACGTCCGAACTAATTCCGTGGAGGAGAATATCAGTCTTCTCTCCAGTGTGCAGTGTTGTCGTGAACAGGGTCCTGAAACGTCACGAAGCAGGCGTCGATTTGGAGAAACGACGAGCAGAAAATTACAAGTCATGCTCTAAACTTTAAGTTTTTATAACTCACGTAGCCAAATGAAATATCCTTTCGTCAATGTGGTGGATGAATTTTTGTTATACGAAGACTTCAAAAACTCCCAGAATGTGTACTAATGGGACCAGATTAACTGCGAGAGGGTGAAAAGTGCGCGTAGGCTTAACAGAATGTAACTTACAAACCGGATAGCAAGCAGCGAACATATTACAATAAAGAATGGTCACCTCGTTTCCTACATACCCTTGACTCCTTCAAGAGATATCTGAGGATATAACAACTACTACAGAAATTTTAAAGAAAACCAGCAAATTAACACAAATATTTCAATACGCATCGCAGGCTGTACATTCCACTGATTGATCAGTTTCGTATTATGAAATCTATTTGTTCTGTGAAAACATTTTCCCGACAATAAATTTAAAAGAAAAGCCGATGTTTCTACGCGGCCTTTAAGATGTGATCACCAGTCAGCAAACAATTTTATATTACAAATTAAGGGCTTTCATTGCAAGACAAATAGAAAGGATTGATTGACGGAAAACTGGAAGAGGAACACAGTTTGTAACATGACGTGAGAAACGTCTGTTGGAAAACGAAAGCAATGGTTCACGTTTTAATAACTTTCTTATTTCAGGAAGGCACCGCATCTTTATTTAAAACACAAGCAAATTAACGTATGCACAAATTCTCGAAGGATTTTCTCCTACCAATGAAATATTTCTCGCGAGGTTCTTTGTTACAATTTATTATATTTCAGACAGAGCAGCACACAGCAGCCTTAAATGTTCTGGACAATGGCGTGACGCGTGATGCATTACCAACTTGCTTCTTGACTTTGTCGGTCGTCTTTATGTATTAAAACCAAGACATTTTTAAATGGATTCTAATTCTCCCTCCAGATCTATTGACCGTCACCTTGGTACAACCGCACTTAAAAATTAGTACACAAACCACGTATGTCTTCTGGGATGTTGAGTCGTGTTGTCTTTCTTCCTCACCGCCGTGAGATTTCATGACAGTGAACAAATAACAAAAGACAAATAGCCATATAAAAACACAGGTTTCTGCAGCAAAGAGGATAAAACATTTCACATACGAATTGACGTCTCTTGTACCCTTATTTCACGTGTTAATCAACCACGTCAGTAAATGAACAAACCTGAAATATTCGCTGCGCATCGACAGAATAACTCTGTGGACTGGAAAGACGCCGCCGTCCTCCAACCTCAACACAGCGTCACACAAGACGTTCTTCTCTCTCAGCTCATTCAGAAGGATCAATGGTTTGGTGCACGTGCACCTGTCGCCATCTTGAGAACGGCTGCCACTTTGGTTTGACTCCATCTCCTGAAAAACAGTCCATCGCTGTTACAGGTTTTCCTTTATACTGACGCGTGTGCACATAAACTGAGAGTGACTGAGAGGTAATATCTGGTCCTGAGAGAGAGTTACTGCAAAGGGAATGGCGAAAACTGCATAATACGAAGCTTTATATGTCTCTTCACTAATTATTAAATTGTAGGTTGTCAGATCAAGGTTGATGAGATGGGCAGGGCATGTAGTACACATGGCAGTGACAAGAAATACGACATTTTAATCGGAAGACCTGAAATGAAAAGGTCAATTGAGAGTCCTATGTGTTCCTGGGATAATATTAAAATGGATCTTCCTCAACACTCTGTTGTCAGAGGCCCCAGTCTATGTTCCTCCCTCAAAGTGTAAGACCACGTTTGGCACTCATATGGCACAACTGGCAAAATTACGCTTTGGTTCATTTTAATCTTAATTTTCTTTTGGTATGAGACGGGAGGATAAAATATTTTGCACTCAATAATAGCAAGCATTCGCCGGGTTTAATCTGCTATTTAAGGGAGATAATAAGAGGGAGATTCGTCGATAATTAGGCTTCTAAAACCGAAATAAAAATTCTTCATAGTTCCCTGAAATGCTTTAATAATGTCGATGTTTCAAGAGAATTAAAGTGTTAGAATTATTATTCAGAATATATACCCCACTTCTTAGCATCCATATATTTTTATTAAGATTCTGGGCTACGAAACAAATATTATTAAGACGGTACTGTGGCTTCACATCTCTCTGCTGATACTGCAAGACCTTTGCAACTATTAAAACTAGTGCGCAGGTTTCTAAAACGGTGGCAAACAAACTGGAGCTCTTTCATGTACTATAGCTACGCTTGTTTCTATGTCGTAACTTGTTTAATGATGGCATGTCAACTGATAATCTTAATAACATTCTTTCACCAATGTTGAAATTTCTAAAACATGTTTGTTAATACAATCTTGGGACTTTTGTTAACAATATCCCTAGCAACACGTGTTTCAACAATGGCATTTAAATGTGAAGGGGGCTTAACATTCGAGCCCACTTCGCTCCTGAAACAGCTGTCTTAGGAGGGGAATCCCTCCAAAGGCAACCCGAACTGAAACACGACTCGAGGCCCGCAAGTTGGGAGGATAGTTTACTGAATCTCCATGGCAATTTATTAGTAATATTACTAACTTACTATTATCAATAGGTTCATAAACACATCACTCAACAACTATCTTTTACAAAATCAGTCATTTGGTGAGACATGAGATGCTGGTTTCTGCTCGAGTGATCTTCCAACACACGATTTAACTTCTGCTGCTCAGAAACGCACGTTCCCTTCCAAAAGTGAACCGATAAGATGGATTAGTTTTCATTAAGCTGAACATTTGCTCGTAGCGACAAACACTGCAGAACAGTGGCTGAGTAAACAAGACGCATTGTCTGATACTGGGAAATTATTTAGGAAACAGGTTAACGGTTGTCTTTTCTTCTTCTTCTTCTTCTTCTTCTTCTTATTCTTCGTTGTTTCTGTATCCATGTCCGGGCAGTAGACAAAGGCGATATCACCCGGTAAAGTGCTTTATCAAAGTAATTGGGATGATTAAAATCCACAATATTTAAACTCCAAAACCAACAGCACCTCAACTAGACAAGAAATTCCACATCTTTTACGGAAATTGAAGGGCATTATAGCATTAACAGCCGCCAGCCGCTGGACTCTAAAGGCGAAACAAAAGAATTTCAAAAAGATCTGAATGTAAAAATGATGTACTTACCTTCGGCGGTTGCCGCTCCAAAAACCTGAAAGGGACCTGGGCTGTAACAACAAAACATACATTAGGTAAATACACATTTAACTTATGCTAATAGCAATTAACGTAGAGGCACCATCAAAAGTTGTCATTACCTATTATCACACTAGGCATGCAAGGCTATCGCGGGTTAAATATAAAACTGATCGTTTTCTCGCTTATTTGAACCAAAGGTCATCCTTAGATTCGGTATATACAGAGAACTGCTACACCCACAGGATTTCTTCATGAAAGTTCGAGAGAATATAGGATTCCGTGTTAACATAGAAAAAAAAGTAACACGCAATATGAAACCCAAATGGCGAGCAGACTAGTTATACAGCCCATTTAAAACGTTTATCATGGGAGCAATCGAAATGTCTCAAACCAGAAGGTTGTTTCGGCAGTGAAGATAAAACTGCATTAAACAAGAGTGTTTGAAGGAAGTTTACACGGAATGGTTACACACATGCACTTGTAGAACAACTGAACCCGATAGGGATGCAAGGTTTGATCATTTTCTGCGTTGGATACCATGCACAAGCTCAGGAATTTCAATTTCCAATAACTTTTCCGCGTCTACTGTTAATACAACCGTCTTTTTCATGCCGAGCGAAACAACATTAACGACTAAAACTGCAAACAATGGGTTGCTCATGAAATAGTTGTTCGTTACAGCATCTGTGTGATAAGTACGTGAAAGCAGGTCCCAACCATGGACCAATGTAAGAAAGACCAGTCGCACTCCGAACAACTGCCGAGGTTAAGAATGAGTAGGAGCTACAGCTTCTCCCCCAAGTGACAACATGGCGTGTAGCGGGACAGCTTTTATATAAAATTGGAAACAAAATAGCCCTTCTGGCCAAATGAGCCAAACAATTTGGACACCACTGCCTTGAGTTATTTTTACTAAAATTAAATGTGGCTGTACAGTTAAAGGGGACTTCCTGCCTGTCAACCAAGAGTGAATCCATTCCAATATGACACGAAATATAGGAGAGACAGGAAGACAAACCAATTGACAGTGGAACCACGGTTCCGGAGAATCTGACGTAAATACGTCTATACGGAAAGGAAGTTTATATATTGGCTTTATTTCCTTTATACATGCTTTACAATTGAGTAAAGTTTGATTAAGACTTTGCTTATTTAACTTGAATTAGTTACGCTTGAGTTGGGTTTGTGGTAGCTGAACTTGACTTCGGGGGGTTGGTCAAGATTTTAAAATCTTGAGTAAGAAACTAAACTAACCCCTTCGGGAATCTTACACGTTTTCATTTCACTTTTTTGCCCAATGACCCTTCCGTATAGACGTATTTACGTCAAAATGCATCGTTAACTGTAATCTTGTAATGTTTGTACAATAGAGTATTAATCAAATAATTAAACCAATGTTTTATTGTATCTATATTCACAATTTCTACCAGATAGGTAAATTTGTGAATCAAATTCCTCTTTATATGGACGTTGAAACTGTAATCATTGTCCAATTCTCTAGGTAGTAGCGTTACCATAATACTAACATCTACTGGAATATAGATCAAGTGGTTGGTTATGTGTTTTAACCGCCCCCCCCCCCAAGGAATGGTCGGTTAAAACACTTGTGTAAGACAATAAAATAACCCCTCTTGGGGGGGGTTAGTTTAGTTTCTTTCTCAATATATTAAAACACAACCAACTCCCACGAAGGGAGGGTTTGTCAAGTGTTTTAACCACCCTTCCGTATAGATGTATTTACCTCAAAATGATGTACTTACCTTGAGTGGTTGCTTTTGTATTCGCATCTGGATCCCAGGTAACGTCCTGCAACTGACTGGGACCTGGGCTGTAACATCAAAACATACACTAGGTCGTCATTTTCGATTATCACACTAGGCATGCAAGGCTAACGCGGGTTGAATATAAAATTGATCGTTTTCTCACTTATTTGAACCAAAGGTCATCTCTTAAAACATATAAAAATAGTAAAGTAAATTCTTAGATTCGGTATACACAAAGAATTGCTACACCCACAGAAATTCCTCATGAAAGTTCGGGAGAATATAGGATTTCGTATTTAAATTATATTTAGGCAATAAACACAATTAAAGGAAGGGGTTGGTTGCTTTTTACAATCTTGAGGAAGAAACTAAACTAACCCCTCCTTCGGGGTGGTTAAAGCACTTGGCCAACCAATTGGTCAAGTTTCCTAGATAACAACAATGCACGCAAGTTGACCATTGTTGTCGGTCCATATTTACACATTGTTGATATGGATCTTACACGTTTTCCTTTCACTATTTTGCCCAATGACCCTTCCGTATAAATGTATTTACGTCAAAATGCATGGTTAACTGTAATCTTGTAGTGTTTGTACAATGGAGTATTAAACATATAAGTAAGCCAAAGTTCTATCGTTTCTTTCTTCACAATTCCTACCAGATAGATTCGTGAATCAAATTCCTCTTTATATGGACTTTGAAACTGTAATAATCTTCCAATTCTCTAGGTAGTAGCGTTACCATATTATTAACATCTACTGGAATATTGCAATTGCACCCAATTGATGTCCAAACCTCCTAATTTGCATTAATGGAATTCTAGGAGATATTAATCTTTCGATTATGCAATCTAGAGGAGGCAAAACAGTGGGGTATGGTGGATTTACAAATCCTTTACTCCTAGACAATACAGGTATTTGCTGTTTATTTAAAGATAGCCAGCATGTTGTGCATACCTTAAATTGGGATACATTTTCACTTACAAACACCGTACCCAATATATCTAAATGGCTATCAGTAACTTGTTTCAAATATTTTTCAAACCATAACCGATCACATACATTGCAAGCGTATCCAAATCTATTTTTCTTAAAATGCTTATGAAAATACTCTGTTGCATTGTCATACCTTGGTTGTGCGATTCTTGTAGGAACGCGTGTACTTGTCAATGATGTTGAAGCATTAACTTGCAATAATTGGTACTCGCGATTTCTATATTCCCTTATACGTTCAACATTGGTTTTCGGTATTTTTTTGGGAACTTCAGGTTTTTCATTTAATGCTTCTATATTTTTGCTGTTTCTGTACTCTCTTATAAATTTTACTTTATGGACTCTTCTAGCTTCATAGTCATCCATCTTGTTATCTCTACGTAGCACAACGCAACACACAAACGCAGTAATAGATTTCTTAATAATTCTTATATAAGTACTTGTGATATTCTAAAACGTTTTACCAGCACAAAATTATCTACTCTACGACGCACTTCTTCTACAACCGATTCACAGCTCAGCTCTTTCCGCAATAAAGAAAGTGGACTGTTGACGGCAGTAATGTAACACAACAATGTCGAGTAAACAGATGACGTAACAATTATTTTCTTAGGTAACATAACAATGCACGCAGTTCATATAACAGCTGACCATTGTTGACGGTCTATATTTACACATTGTTGATATGGATCTATACGTAACGTCTTATCTTACGTTTTGTTTCATGAGTTAAGATGGTCAGGTAAAACTGTGTTAATTGCAAATGCTTTCGTATTTTAATTGTTGTCCATATTTATTAAATAATTATTATTTCCACATAAAGTTATTTCATGTGAACTAAAAAATTATCATACTGTTTAATCCCCATGGTTTTCGCAAATATTTATACAGAAGGCTACAAAAAATAAAAAAAATTAATGACGTATGAAAGAAACGGACATTGTTCTGCATACAGGAACACACAACTTTAAAATAACATTGCGTTTTAGATACCATGGAATTTTGAACCGGGCACAAAACAGTAAACGAAATGCTGATAGTGACCACTTATGGCTTTCGCCTTTCGTATTGGACCAGACACAATACTAAATTACCAGAAAACACAAGTAAGAAAGTGAAGTATCAGAGCACACCGAATCAATTGTTTTGGTAATGTCAAGATTATCCTCCAGGACCTAGAACTATTTACTGATACTTTTTTTAAAAAAAGAGTTTGAGGATTTTGCTGAAGTCACTTCTTAGGGCATGAAAGGTAGAGTCGTTATACGATTTTCGTACTTTCAGATTATAATTTCGCTTACAATTCTACAGGCAGAAGTAAAAGTTTGCGTGATTTTTGTTACAGGCACAATAAGCACTTCTAGGTAATTAACTAAATCAGGGCGGTCCAATTTTTTCCCTCGCTTGGGAAAGAATGGTTTTCCAGTTGAACCCAAGGGCCATGAAAGCCCTCCTGTCACTAATTTTGCATGGCCATTATCTTTAACCCTTTGCGGCCCGATGTCGGACTGAGTCCGCCACGTATTTTACGAAATTTTTACGTGATCTGGAGTCAAACTGAGGCTGGCAAACAGCGTCAGCATATCATTTAAGCCTTCTTCTTTGCACAAGTTCTATCCTAGTTTTCCTGGTAAGACTTTCTGTATCTGATAACAGTGAAAGGAGGCAGGAGAGCTAAGTCGTCTTATTCTTACAGGTGTCCAAGGAAGCCAGGATAGGCAAAGGAAGAAGTCTATGGAAAAATCTTACCAGAAGAAGAGATAGGATGGTGGGACATATTGTGAGGCACCCAGGATTGCTTAATTTGGTATTGGAAGGAACAGTTGAAGAGAAGAATAGTAGCGGGAGACAAAGATTGGAATATGTGACGCAGATTTTTGAGGATGTGGGCTGTAAAAAATATGTGGAAATGAAGAGATTGGCGCAAGATAGGCGAAAATGGATGACCGCACCAAACCAGTCGGAAGGCTGATAAAGAGAGAAAATTTGCAACACTTTATTTCCTCTTATAAAAACAAAATGGGTCTTAATGTTTCACGGCATGCAGAATGCTCTCGACCAATTCAGCCACTAGAAGTTCTCACATGTGACTTTATCCCACAGCATTATTTACTTAAGTTCAAAATAAATGTGTAAACTCTTTCTTTAATAAGTTATTGTTATTTATAAAAGCGAAATATCTTCTCATTTGTCACGAGAAGGCTACTATTCAAATTTCTTATGTTAAAGCTATTATATATATGCACGAAACAAAGATTAAAATACTTGCTTCACAATTTAATGAAACGGGCAATGTGTCCAAAACAAGCCAGAGCCTGATTATACCAAATATCGTGATCAGTTGATTAGCATTCATTTCTTTTCATTCCGGAGGTTATGGGCAAGAAACGTGGCTCAGAGAGCAGCAATTATGATGACATTTTCCTCGTTTCCCTCAGTTACTTAAGATAATCAGGGGACTGTTATTAAAGTTAGGCCACTACCACTCCCCTCCGCATCCTTTACAAGTTTGTTTTTTTTGTAGCTCCTACAACAATTCCTAGTTTTCTACATAATTTTCGTAGGTAACGTAATTAAAATTAATGTGTTCGTCGTGGTTGTAATCAACTGCAAACTACTGATTTTCTCTGTGTTTGTACTCGTAATCGCTTGCATTCGGTAAGTTCTTGATGACACAAATCGACTGAGTGGGTTTCCAAACATTCATGTCTGTCACCTGGTGCCTGCAATTTCAAATGTTAAAAGTGAAAACAAACCCTCTTTCATCATCCATCAGTATTATCTACACTCAACAGTTCCCACGTGATCTTTCTCTCACTCATGCACACACATCCCCGGCAAACGTTCTATTACAACGTTATACATTTTATTACATAAAAGTGGAGGGAGAGATTACATCTATTTTAGGGCGCTGTCAAATGACTAGGTTCTGCGCAAAGCTACGTTTGGTACACTTCACTAAGCCATTACCTTCGGTCAGAATAATAAATTTAATCCCGCACTTTCTTTGGAGAGATAAGCGTGTCTTGTTTGAGACATGCGCCCATGACAATATTTCCCTCTTTTAGCAATATATTTTCAAAGAAAAAATTTGTCCCACCAAAAGCAGTTCTGGAGAGGTTCTGATGGACGTAAAACAGACACAAACCAAAATCGAATGAATATTTGTTGGATATCTGGCACTTGCAAAAACAAGTATGAAGAAATCTGTCCTCTGGGATGTTTTTGGACCTGCTTACTCACTCCATTAACAGATGGCAGGAGACAGCCATTTTAAAACAAACTTCCTTCAGAAATGGGAACATGAGACAGAGAGGCGTCGTTAAACCTGAAACTGGCCTAACACTTTCATGAAAGCCGAAGATTATGGCGATGCTGATCGCCAGAAACTTCCAGCCCAAGAGAGTGAAGTACCACTGATCAAAGAAACTTACTCTAAGAGCTTCTCATTAATGTAGTTACAGCTTACGTCTGATTAGCATTACATAGTCATTTGTCCTCTGCTTTAACGATTCAGCTTGACCGCAACATCGCCCTGCCTGCGTTCATTCAACCCCCTTCCTCTCAACCGCTTTTCGCGCGTTGTATTCAAGGCCCTGAGTAAGCAGTAAGAACCTCTGAAACGTCGGTCAGTTCCTACGACTTTACACGGCGCTGCATCCACAATATCGCGGTTATTTTGACCGGAAATGATTCACTTCCTAGTGCTTTTCGGAAGTAACAGTTTGTGATTATACAATGAAGGTAAGAAACAAACAAACAAAGAAACAAACCATCGATATTCCTTGGCATCGAAATATGCGGCGCACTTGTTAAGACATCCACCGATGGCAAAGATCGTGTCGTCGATCACTTCTGCTTTGAGTTCATATGAATAGATGTTCATGTCAGGGATCTCGGTCCACGTGTCTTCTGTAGGGTCGTACTTTTCCGTACTGAGCTCGTGAGATGTCTCATTGTGTCCTCCTGCTCGCACACACACACACATTCCGTAACAGGTCACAGTATATAAAAATCTTCCAAAGGGAACTTATTCTACCCCCATAAGTGGGGCCCGTCTTGATATTTATTAC